TCCTTGCCAAAAAATAAAACCAAAAACCTTTGAATAACCATCCACTGCAGACATGTGGACCAAAAATAAATTGGATGGAAATAAATCAATGACACGGAAGGGTTTAAAACTCACAAAAGGGAACCACCGGAATTTGCAGAGGGGGAAGTACCGCAAAGAAAGATGCAAACTGCGAGATAAACGAATGGCAAGAAGAGAGAGACTAATTGCAGCCTGTTGCTGCCTCTGCAGCTGCTGCCTTCTGTGGGTTTTATCTTTTAATTTGCCACAAAACGCACAAAGTGCACTCTGCTGCGTGGGTGTGGGGGTGTGTGGAGTGTGCCAGTGTGTATGTGTGTGTTTGCAGCCACTGGCCAAGCCTGGGAATCCTCTCACTTTTTTCACATGCACTCCCCATTGTATCCATGGACTGAGCGCGATGATGAAGATCCCAATCCCAGCTCCAGCTGGCTGGCCAAATGCCTCTACCAGGCTGGCTGGCTCTGCCTTTCTGCCGGCTGGATATGACACAGATTACGTAACATGAAATTAACATTTTAACACAATTCCGTTGAAAGAGAAGACGATGACGCCGCTGCAACGCCAGTCCTCGGCAGCAGCATCACTCGGGGAAATAAATCAAGAAGGAGTGATGAAGAAGGGAATACCCTTTAAAACTAGCTACAAAGTTAGGGAAAAATCTTTCTTTTCATGGAGGATATTTTGTGGATTTCGTATCAAGTAATTAATATATTAAATTAATTTTTATATATTTATTTACTTGGCAATTCCAACAACTTCATTGTATACACTTTTCTGCAGAGCATCTCCAAGGGTAATAAAATGCAACAAACAAAAAGAGAAAAAGTATAAATGGGAACCCGTTGCGGATTGGACTGCTGCCGCGCCCCCTTCTTTTGGTATGGGAGACCCGGACCTGCCCCTGGCTCATCAGTCTCTTGGCTGCGTCTCCAGCGCCATGACCAGGCATTGGGAGGACAACAGCGACAGCGACTACGAAGACAAGTTGGTGATGATGATGACGATGGCCAATCCAATACATGACCACTTTCGGGCCGTGAGTTACGCCTCTTGCTGTCAATTATGCAATTAACGTTTTGCCAGCAAACAAGAAGCAATCGCGCCAAATGAGCCGCGTTTCCTACACATTACACATTAGTGACAAAACGCAGTCTGGCGCTGATGCAAATGCCGCTGCCGGTGGAGGTGCAAATGCAGATGCAAATGCAGATTCGGTGGCGTTGGCCAGCTGCCACCGCCGATCGATCGATGATAGTTGGTTGTGCAAAAAAAAAAAAATCCCGATACTCGTACTCAATCCTAAGGCGCAATCGCTATGAAGTGTCATCGCCCCAAGTCAGCAATAATATTATTCGGCTGATTGTTTCGCCCCGCTGCGAGGTGTCTGTGTTTCCCAGCAATTAGATGATGGTCTGTGAGTTGCAACTCGTGCAAACGAATTTAGGAAACACTTGACAAATATTGACAAAAGCAACTGCAAGGCAAAAACAAAAGCACAAGCAAAAGCAAAAGCGAATGCTAGATTTTTGTTAATTTTTTGCAATTTTAAAATGGATTTGAAGTAATTCAAATGGATTAAAAAAAGGCTTCTGCTGGTGGAATAGAATTGTGTTTTTATTTTTTTTTTTTTAATTAGGTTAGGAGCACAATAATTTATAAGTTTTCAACTTGAAGCGTTAGGGATACAAATAAAATAAAACCAAAAATCGAAGAGTCTCTCAGAATAAGAATTAAGTAAACTAAAAATTAACTATAGTTTTAAAGCCCTTTTGTTAATTGTAAGATAAATATGAACATTAACATTGTTTATTACTAACTAAATAAATATTAAGTGCATATCTCCTTTAAATGTTCCCCTTACACTAACATCACGTATACGCCAAGAAACCCTCCTTTTCCGCCCGCTTTCTCCCTACAAATAGCTACTTTATTAAAAATATTCTTTATAACTAATTGCAATTATTTTTCCCCTTCCAATTACTACAAGCTGCTCCTTCAAAACCTGCATCACGTATACGTCTGGTATCCCTCTTTCCTCATGGCTTGCCCTCTCTACAACTATTTATTTAAAGATTACCCAATAAATGTTTAATTTTCAATCGACTTTTGACAACGGGGCGACAATTACGATTGCAATTTTCAAGGAAAGCGCCGAGCCGAGATCCCATGGGTACAGAGAGCGAGCAATTTGCTAATCATTTCAGCTGCCAAATGCTGCAGAAATGTAATGTTTGAACGACGTAAGACACTAGGAAGAAATTGTCAACGCTGGACGTCGGACGGAAGAAGGGAGAGCAATCGCAGCAGCCATGAGAAAATGAGAAAAATCCAAGTCAGCGAAATTGTTGCCGGGGTTAAGTAACCAAATAACTATTTGCAGCTACTTTTTGGGCAACGAGCAGGCCTCGCAGGATGGTCAGGGATTGCAGAGCCACTGCATCTCAAGAAAAGTGAATGGCAGATGAAGTTGCCGCATCGCCTTGGGCTCGGAATTGGGTAACATTGCACAGCGGTGGGCGAAAAACTGTCAGCAATTGTATATTTCTTGCTTTCCCTTCCCGTCCCGACCCTGTCTTGGGTCGTCTTATGGATTGGCCAGTCATGGGGCTTCCCCTGATGGCGTCCCTCAAATATGGCGATTATAATTACTGGGCCTGCCTGGGTGAAGCCATCAAAGTCTGCCGGCTTTACCTGAAGTAGGGCTTAAAATGGCATAACTTGTTGTCTTTATACTTCAAAATTTGGCTAAAATCAAAGCGGAATATCCTGACCATTGGAACAGCTGTCTCTGGGAAAGGTCGTTGCCAGCACACAAATTCACACTCTTGTCCAGACCAACTGGCTTTCAGGTTTTCCCTATTTTTGTTTTTTATTATTTCCTCAGCTGCACAATTGGCCATCGACTTAGGGGGCTCGTTTGACAACCCAAGTGGTTACGTGGTCCTCCGCCCCCAACCCCAATGGCAATTGATTTCCTGGAAGATCACACGAGACGCTGGTTTGGATGGCATCTTCGGGCGCAGTTGGAGGCAAGTACCAAGTACCCAGCCACATGCACCGCATAAATCTTTTCTCATTTACTTCAGCCGAAACCCGGGGCGCGCAAGTTTATTGTAAATATTGTAAATAGTGGCCGTGCCCAGTGACTAGTGCCTGCTGCCTGAGCATTATGTGAGCATTACATGCTATTTGGCATGCTGCCACGGCCCAAAATCACAACTCGAAAATCGGAGAAAAAAACAAAACAGAAGTCGAGGCTATAAATGCTCTTATACATTGAATATATGCCGTAATTAAGGTGGGTTAATTTAATTTTATTTCATTTAAACACTACAAATAACCCCTTTTTTAAGTAAGCAAGGAATTTTCTGTGACTTAATATGTTAGTCTTAAGAATGTATACATTTTTTTAAATAAAGTCTCAACCTTTTTTCTTGCCCAACCCCTTCTTTAAATCCCCATACCCCTTACAAATTCAGAGAGGAGCAGGAAGCCGCCAGCCTTGCCACGCTTGCTCCCCATTGACCCCGGGTTTTCTTCTCCGCAAAAAAATGCAAAATCAATTTGAAGATTGAGGCTGCTTCGACAGCTGTCGTCATCGTCTTGGTTGTCGTTGCCACAGACCTCCGCCTGCTTGATGGCTCAGTTTGGTCCCGGCTCCGCTTTGGCTTTAACTCGAGTCTCTGTCTGAATTCGAGCTTGAGTTTGAGTTCACTTGGAGCAGCAGCTCCTCTAACAAGTGGGGAGGCTTGTCATTGACTGCAGACCGAGGCAGTTGTGGCAGTGGCAAGGTGCTGCGATTGGGGTTAAACTCCAGAGCCAACAGAAACGCCAAAAAAGATGGGTTAAAAGAGATGCGCTGGTGGTTGGAATTATGCAAGAAAATTGTATACATTTGCTAAGGTAAGTACAGCCCATTAAACTAATTGCTGGCTCCTTTTTGTAATATACAATAATTTAGATAATATATTTAGGGGTTTAAAAATTATAGATTCAATGGAGGAATTAAGTACTTCATTGTTGAGGCAAGAACAAATAGCCTCATTTTTATTAAGCCTCAATCATTAATAAATAATAAATTAAACAAATAAATATTTGAAAAACATGTATTTCAAAATGTTGTAATTATTTTATATAAAATAATAAATTCATTAAATAAATATTTCTTATTTAAATAAGGAAGGCATTATCCTTAAATTTACTTATAATATGTATGTATGATTTATAATTATAAAGATAATATATAAGATAAGTGTGGCTTATCTTCTTATTCTTTAAGAAAAGTTTTCAAACTTTTTATATTTTTTTCCAAACTTGTATATTTTTCTTATTCAAGTTACTACGACTTGTAGTATAAAAATTTATTATATGTTGTATGTATTTACTTAAAATACCCACAATTATTTCCCAACAATCATTTGTAGCTGACTGAATTCTTTCAGTTCGAGGCGTAAGTTAATTTCTGTTCCACTTCATTTAAATTCTAAGAAATTCCCTTGAATTTCCCTATTGCTTCGTGCTCTGTCATTCAATTAACAATCGTCCTGCTGTTTCCACCACTTCTGATTATTCAACAACACTTTTTTTTACAAATATCCCGGACAGAAGTAAAGAAGAAGGAAAACGGAAACGGAAAACATTTTTAGCATATTGAAAAACGAGCAGATAAAGACTGAGCTATATGCAAAGGATATCGACGGAAGGAAAGGTATATTTAAGTGAAACCGATATTTATTTATAAATAAAATTTCTATTTTTGACTTTGTAGACTTTTAGTTTCAATTTTCTAACAGTTCCCAGCAAGGACCAACGGAAGAGCACCCACAAGACTCCATCACCATATGTTCTAAACGCCACTTTCTATATATCCAAAAACCCTTCCCTAATGGACCTGGTCCATTTTGGCAGCCAAATTAGTTTTTGCGGTCGACTCGAGGTGGGGCATCCAAAGGGAAAAGTATAACTCGAAGTGGACTCACCTTGCGCTTGGAGCGTGCCATTCGCTGGTCGCGCGAGGTCTCCGCCTCGCCGGGCGGCCGCTTGCCCCAGACGCGGATGGCGATGCGGGTGTACGTGTAGATGAGGACCAGCAGCGGCACGACGAACTGCAGCGTGAACAAGGAGAGCGTGTAGTAGTACTCCTGGTTCCGCTCCGGCCACATTTCGCGGCAGATGTATCTGATGGATGCGTCCGTCACGCACAAGGGACAAAGGACATCACATGGAAAGAGAGCGACACAAGAGGGGCAGTGCATTAGTTTCGAGTGGACAGTTATGCGGGCAGCTTCAAATAAACTGTCACAATGGACTAAAAGGCTATCCCGTCCTAGTATTCTAGCCTTCACGGATGAGTGTGCAATTACATTTTTATGCCAAGGGCTTTCCCCCGCTCCTGCTGTTGCAATTAGATATGACTTTCAGCATAGTTAAACTCAGTTGGAGAAGGGAGATGAGATTTCTATTTGCATTCGCATTATCCTGGCAAAAGTTAAAAATACTCTCTCGCTTTTTTCTCCGAAAGCCAAAGCGCAAAAATGTTTGTAATATATTTTATTTTTGCTCCACTTAAGGAATGTCGTCTGCTCTCACATCCTTTCTGGGATTTTGTCTTCAAGTTGAAATTCCCCGGAATTGTGGCAGTTAGGCCTAATGCCCAACACATCCATCTTCGCACGGAGACACTTCCATTAAGTCTTTTTAGGCCACAAATACAAAATTCTTTAAAAAAAACTTTTTACAATTTACAAATGGAATTTATATAAGTTGCATAGATTTTTCTAACTATTATATATTCATATTTACTTTATTAAATTCTATATTATATTTTTGAAATATTTTTTTGTTCAGTGCCTGTTATTGTTAGCACTAAAGCGTTACTCACTTGTCGCACTTCTGGTGCCAGGGTGACGGCGGCTGGACGAGGCGGGAGACAAGCGGGATGGGAAAGGCGGTGGCCAGGGCTATGAACCAAACGCCGCTTATGATGAACTTGGCATATCTGCAAGGAGACGGGGAAAGATAATACACTTTAGTGGCTGTTGAATATTTAATTCATCAGTTATTATAAGTAATACTCAACCGAGCTCAACAGTTTCTCAAAATAAGCATCAAACATTTGCTTACGATATTATGTTCGAAAATATAAGTACTTGACTTTATTATTCCAATTCCAAATAAAACATATTACGTCCTTAATGCCTAATGTTTTAGCATAACTCCAAAAGGTCAAAGTTGAGACTTGTTTTTGAGTGCGCTCATAAGAACACATTTGATGCCCTGATAAATATTTAAAATGTCTGTTATTTAAAGTCATCTGTAATCCAGTTGGCTGAAAAAAAGTGTGCTCATAAATTCTTAAGCAGTTCTGCCAACAAACTCCTGGTGCTCACCGTGGCGTATGAATGATGCCAACTCTGGGCTCAATAGCTTCATCCGGCGGCCTCTGAGCATGATAAGCGGGCATTAAGCACTTAACATTAATCGGTAGGGTTTCGGCTTGAGGACCGCTCACCGCCTTGCGGTAGCTACGCACAGTCATGTTGAATAATTATCAGCGGTATTTGCTTTAATGTCGCCACAAATATTTGCAAAAGACACGAAGGATGGCTGTTGGCCACCACCAAACATATGCAAACATTGACGTCAGTGGGTTTTTAAGCCAATGGCAGACAGAGAGAGAAATGTAAGCTGTTTTTTGTATATAAAGCAAATAAAAATTGTATTTTGTATTTTTTTTTTTAAGTGTTAAAAGGAAATATTTTAAATTGGACTATTATTAAAACTACTGAGAATTATTTAAAATTAATTTTGCTATTTCTACAGAATTTGTATATCAATTTTAAACTTGAAAGCTCTTTTAATATAGGTATATTTCTAATATTTTTCTCTGCGCAAATATCCAAGTTTTGACGCACTTCCTACACTTCCTCGTCCCTTACCCCGTAAGCTCCATTAAGAGTCGCCTGAGCGTAAAATACTCATAGCCGCCGCTGCCTAAAACTCAGCGGGAGCTGAGATGGATGTCGGTGGATGAGTGACACACACCGGGATGAGGGAACCGTCTCTCGTTACCAAACCAATTGACGTTTGCCATGCAGTCGATGGACGATGCCGGCTTTGGATTTTGAGCAAATGCCGCCGCGTCAGGGTCTCGGATTACTATTTAAACCAATTAACACGAGCTGGGAGCCACTCAGGGCCTACTCCCTGGAGATGGCTTGCTCTCGGATGGTTGCTTGGGGTCAAGTGGAAAGTGTCAGCGTGAAGGGCAGTGCAAATACCCTCAGCGGTCACTTAACGGTGTCCAGGCACGCCACTCAGAGTCCCAACTTGACACTTGAACTAAAATAGTTGGAGGAACTATTTAAAGGAAGGGGAAAACTGGGGGTGAAATGGGCGGGAAAAAGTGTAGAAGATTTCCCAAATTGCTGGCATATTTATTTTGCAACATTAAACATTAATTAAATGTATTTATAATTTAACTAAATGATAACAATTATATATTAAACCAAAGGTACTTTTATTTTAAACGTTTAAGTTTTTTTATTATTAATATTCATCATTATTATTTGCTTTTTACCAGAGGCTCTTATGAAATTAATTGGGCATTAAAGCTGCTTTTATTTTAAAACGTAATATTTCTGCCTTTTGCTGCTGAATTTTGACGGAAAAAACTATGAAAATTGCCAGCACAGAAAATTACCTATGGAAATATTTCTTTGAATTGCACATAAATTTTAATTATTATGCATTTGTTGAATGCTTTTTTGTGGTAACTTGTTCGCCTTGTTCAAGCTTTGAAGGGAACCCTTTGGCTTTAATTTAATTTAAAATAAAATTGCTATGAAAAAAATATTTATTCTAGCTAATTTCAAAGTATTTAAATACATTTTACCCCTAACCCGTCACCCCATCCAAAACTTCGCCCACTTACCTCTTTGTGATCCTTGGCTTCAAGGGCCACATGATGGCTATATACCGATCTATGCTGATGGCCACCAGGGTGTAGGCGGTGACCAGCACGGAGACCGCCTGCGAATAGTTCACAAAGTGGCACAGGACGATGCCAAAGGGCCAGTAATTGAGGATATATATCGATATGAAGGAGGACGGCACGCAGAACAGCGACATCAGGATGTCGCCTAGCGCCAGGTTGGCTATGAAGTAGTTGGTAACGGTGCGCATTCGCGGCGTGGCCTGGACGATGTAGCAGACGGTGCCGTTGCCCATCAGGGCGAACATGAATATGGGAATGTACAGCAGGTAGACGGCGCTCTTGAAGTAGACGCTGGACCACAGATCCCCCGACTCCGAGTCATCCGTGACGTCGCAGCTGAAGTTCATCAGGATGGTCACGTTGAAGGACTCATCCAGCTCGGGGAAATTGAGCGGAATGGTTGTGGTGGAGCCGCCGTCGTCCTCCGCCAGCCGCTTGGTGACATTGTACACCAGCGAGGCGGAGTCCAGATAGTCGTCCTCCTCGTTCCGCAGCAGTGGCTGCTGCGGCTCGATGTAATACAGCCGCTCATCGCCTTCCGGCAACAATCGGCGACTGTGCTCAAGCCTTAGGTCTTTGTCGAGCTCCATTCAAGTGTCTATCGTCGTTGTCTTCTTCAATGGAGCCACCACCGCAAACTCGCAAGCCAACTCAAGCCAGGTCCCTCAAACTTTGACGGTCGCCTTCAGCATTCTGGCCCCAAAATCCAGGCCCTTCAAAGTTGGCATCTGCAAACAAACACAAGGAGGAATAATAAGTCAGGAAACTTGGCTTCAAGTTGGGAAATAAAAAAAAGAATAATTTAAAGAAGTCAATGAGCTTAAAATATAATTGCTTAAACATTTTTCCCATTCATTAAAATATCTTTAATCAATTTAGAAATTACATGATTTAAAAACCCAAATTATTTCCCGCGGTGCAACAGAACTTGGGGCTATAATAAGATCGCTTTATAAAATACTTGCAATGCTCCATTGCGGCTACTTAAGGGGGGATATACATGTAAACCAAAATTTTTTTTGCAAATTTGTTTTTTGGTTTAAAAAATAGTTTATTACTTAAAGAACATACTTTGAAAGTTTCATTATCGAATTCCAACTTTAAGTGCCTCAAATCAAGTATGAACGCAAGGTATACAAGTGTAAACGTGGGCGCATCAAAAACTTTAAACGTCGTTTTCTCAGCTTTAAATTCTTGCATTTCTACCTATGCTATGGACATGATTCACAAAAAACTACGTAACATATCGGGGTGAATCAAATTTTATTATGATCAGCATGAAATTATCTTCTATTTGAACCTACATGGTTGTTATAAAACTGAGTATTACTATTTTTTAAGAGGGTGGGAAGTGAAAACTGATCACCTGAAAATGGCATTTTTTCCTTCAAATCAAAATTTAATTTTTTTGTCTTGATTTCTTTTTGGTTTTTTAGGTTCAAATAGAAGATAAAGGTGTAATGAATACAAAAAAATTTAGTTTACGGATTTCGGACAGGAATTACGAGCTCTATCGTGTCCATAGCACGGCAACTCAAAGCTCGAGGCGCTACGGCGTATGTTCCATAAATCCGCCATTTTGTAAAATATTGTTTATAACTTATTTTTTGTATCATCTTTGATTCTACTTTTAACTATCTCCAAAGTTTCATGACTATTGCTTGACTATTTCATATAAAATAAAATTCACGAAAAATTGCCAAATGTTGACCGTTTACATGTATATCCCCCCTTAATAATTTCCATTTTCTTTTCTTACAAAAAGCTTTGCATAGTTTGGGGCGGTTTTCGTTATAAGAGCTCGAGTGGGTGGTACATGAGCATATAATTATATACATCCGGTATAAGGTAATTCTAAATTATGCACCCTAAAATAGACCACAACACAGAAGGTAATCAAATATTTTATAAGAAAAATGTAAGGTAAAAATAACAGGTGAAGTGTAAAATATTTTGAATAATCTTCAAGCTATAAAAATCTTTTTTTTCCTGTCTTATTTAAAGTAAAATGTTTATTAAACTTAAGCACTATGCAAAATAAAATATATTTAAGTAAGTTCTCCCATTAACCAGGCTATCTACAAAAACTCCATTCCCTTGGTTGGCATTTAAAAGTCGAAAACCCAAACCGAAGCCGAAGAAAAACTCGACTTAACGTATGTGAAAAGCCGAAAAGTAATTTAAACTTGGGCCTTCCGATACTGCGACTCATTTAATTCCATATCATTTGATTTCCCGGGCTCACATCGTTTTAATATCCCGTTGAATGAACTCTGACAAACACTGACAGATGAGTGCCACCCACCCAGAAGGACACGTCCGCCCACTCAAGGACAGGATAAGGTTATCAAGTGGGGTAAATTGCTTATCTCAGCACAGTAATGAGGATGAGCGTGTGCCTGAGTCCTTCTTTAATTTGCTGTGTTTTTTTTATCAATTATCCTGGCACATTCTTTTCGCATTCACATTTCAACGGATTTAAAATGTTTGACATTGCCTATTGGCATTTCGGGCCCACTTCCGGGTAAGTCTTGGGTCACAGAAAGTTGAGGAATTTATTCATTAATGTTATTTAAATAATTTCATGTACTGGGACTTAAGAGATTTTGGGACACTAAAAAAAAAAGATTTTCTTGACGGACAACACGGCTAAATACATACTTATAAAACTTAATTTTATTTAACTTGCGATATTTTTGTGCTCTTTGGGATTTAATTTTTTATTTATGATTTATTCAGTTATTAAACCATACAGATTAAATTCAACCCGAAATATCGAAAATATCTGAAAAAATTACTAAATAATTGAAAATTAAATCAAGAAGCTGTACAAACTGAGACCTCATATCGAAATCCCTAAAGCAAACATACCTCTCCGAATTCCACAAAAATTTCATGCCTACGAAATGAGGCCATCTTATTGAACCTTACCGAGTGGCAATCGAAAATTCTCCCAACCACAAACAGCCCCTCCTGATTAATGAACAACTCATCAATTTTATATTAACAAGACATGGAAAAATGTGTGCGTCGAATGCCAAAATCACGCAAAACAATTACATCGTCGTTCGACGCTGGAATAAACCCAAGGAAAAGGCACCTATAGTACATAAAAACCGAGGCAACAAATCCAAATTAAAAAGAGAAAACGCCACAGGCTACTCAGAGAATGGTGGAACATGAAAATAATGCTGGTAATAAAATAAAATGCAAAATATTGACAAGAAATCACGTACAAGCTGTGGATATGTGCGCCATTGAGGAAAGCGTAATAACGTCTTAGATTTTCCCGGGAAAAATGGCAGCGGCAGCAGCAAATCACATTTTTCGGCTTAGTTGGCGCCGTAATTTTGTTTAGCGGGCTTTTAGGCTGAGCCCGCGAGAGGCCTTTTCCTTCCAACTCCCCAAAAAGAGAACAGGTAGCCAAAAATGTTATTTCATAAATTCAATTTTCCCTCAAGCGAGCGAAAAAGTGCTGTAAAAAAGGCGAGCGAGAAATGCATTTAAAAGAAAGCCTAGGATTACGAAGGCGGAAAATTTTTCGGAAAGCTAGAAAGCCTTTCGTCCGGAAAATAGAATTTAACTTAAATAAAGTTAAAACGGGGCATCATTCTCTGGTATCCAGCTGCTCTCCGAATGCCTTAAAAGGCTCCTCCTTCCTCCTGAGGAACGTTGCAACCAAATATTTGCTCAGCCAAAAACCAACAAAACATCTTTGACTTAAAGCCAAAAACCAAGAGAACTCTTCCGGCAATATTTGTCATTTTGTTGGTATGACATTTATGACTGCCTCAATCGTTTGACGAGGTCTTCACTCGAAGAAAAAGGGTTAAAGTTTAATAATGAAAGTTTCCAATAAAAGTTCTGTAAGTACAAGAAATCCTAAAAAAAAACTAGATGAAGAAACTAGATATAGTAAGTGTGATATTAATCATCTTCCTTTAAAATATGTATATTAATACAGTTAGTAAGCAGTTTAAAGTATTTTTTAATCATAAACTTAATCTTTTCTTAAGAACTTGTTTTGCTATTTTGTTTTTTTATTATAAAGAGTTCATTGGTATTAACTGATTAAGGCATATTTAAACTATCATTCTGACGCACATTTTGATAAGAACCATGACTAATTGTGTTGACATTTCTCGCAGTGCAACCTCACAAATATCTCAAGTCAGTAGAAGCATTTCTGTCACTTTTTGTGGCATATTTGTAATTATAATTAATGAGCAGCCGTCAAGAGTCAACAGCCCCTACAACCGAGTACATTATATTGCATATATATTATATTACATATATATAGGATAAATTGTAGTTGCAGAAAGTTACCACCCATCACCCCCCGTTGGTATTTAAATAGGAAACCATTTTGCTCGGCGGGCGGCTCTTGTGTGCGTTTTCCTTGTGGCCCAATTAGTCCCCGAGTATGCGAAGTATTTCGGGCTGAGTATGTGGAGCCGGCGGGACTCGACTCCCTACTTGAGATTCCCGCAGCTAATCATATGATAGGATATTTTTCGGAGCGCTTTGGAGCACCCCAGACAGATATGGGCCTTGCTTGACCTTCACCTTGCTCCAAAAACCACAACAGTAAAAAAAGAACAATTTTATTTGGCTCTTGTCCTTATTTATGGGCTGACAAGTTTATTGTTTCTTGCGGGGCTCCTGTGTGAAATTGAATTTTATTGCTGCCTAAAGGCAGAGAGCTTCCTACCTCATCTTACATATATATGGTGTGTGGTTTTGGCCAGTGATTTGTGGCTGGAAGCGGGTCGACAAATGCGATTTAAGACCTTGAATTGCCTGGTGGCTTTTAAGGCCACTCGGGTGACATAATTCCTAGAAATTATACGATGAGAGGTGGGGAGTGATTCCATTGCAAAATATCCTGCTGTTTTCATTTAATTTGCTTAATCAGGAGAAGCAGGAGGACACGTGCCGCGTGGCGAAATGCGACACTTTTTCCAAATGCGATTAATTCGAAAATGTTCATTGAATCTGCCATCGGGTTTTTGGTGGGCTCCTCCTGCCCCCACTTCTGCGGCTTTGTTGAGGGCCTGTGTCCACAAAGGCAATGCCCCTCGTAAATATAATAAACTGAAAAGTCGTGGGAGGCCTGCGGTCTTCGTTCGTGTTCATATTTGCGTTATTAATTGAATTAATCCCTCGATGATGGCCGATGGATGATTAACTGTGGCAGGCGGGGTCCCTTAAAAAGGTAAATGCCGCAGAGTAGGCAGCGATTTTAATGACTACTTGAAAGCGCAGTAAAAAGCTCAATTAATATTATCTCATTTCTATTTACATTTTATTTAAAATATAATTACGGGTGGCTATTACAAAAAGTTCTGCTTATTTTAAAGGGAAGAACCAATGAGATATTTTTAAAAATATATGCAAATTTTTAAGTTGATAAATGTTTTTTCCAAATATATTATAAATCAACTTATTTTTTGTGTATTAAGTTAAGCCTTCCCGTAAATATAAATTAATTTAAGCAGCTCTTAGTACCGAATAAAAGCACTAATAAATTAACCAATATTATTTTCTTGCTTAAATAATTTATTAGTAGACTCTACTTTTTGAATTTTATAAACACCGTAAAAGCATTAATTATAAAGTATATAAAAATGTTAAAGTAGATTTAAGTCGATTGTAGTACAAAATGAAAGCAGGAATCCTCTAATATTATTGTTTTCTAATTTTATATATTTTATTATCTCTTTTTTCC